CACACCACGCGGCATCTGAGGGACATGGCCACGAGTGCCCCCGGGCTCCACGGTGCCCGCTGCGCCCTCCCCCACCCAGCCAGAGCCTGCGGCACCTCAAGTCGGTCCCAGCAGGTTCTGTCCACACCTGCCTCCTCCCGGGCCCACCCCGAACCCTGGCCACTGCCGAGCCCAAGCACCAGCGACTGGAGAAGGCTCAGGATCCCCCAGGTCAGGGCCCAGGGCCCAGCAGGGTTTGGGAGCCTTTGAGAAGAATCTTCCCGTTTCTGTTAAGGCAGGGGCTCCCGCGCCATGCGTGGCTGCTTCCAACTGAAAATGGTGTCCACGTTTGTCAAGGATTGCAGAAGGAACACAGACACACATGCGTCAGGCTCTGCGTGGGCCCTGCGCCAGGATACTACCTGGGCCTCTGCAGAGTCTGCAGAAGCATACCACAGCAGCCGGAGGGGTGGCCAGCCAGGTGATGGGACTGTGGCCATGGGCTGAGCAGGGAGGCATGTTTGCGCTCATGTCCTGGGAGGCTCCCACACCACCACCCCTGCCTGCTCAGGCCAGACTCCCAGGTCCAGGGCAGCCCCAGAGCTCCCTGCTGCAGGTGCCCCAGGGGGCCCAGGCACATGGGACCAAGCGCCTGAGGGGAGGCCCATCTCGCGCCTGCTCCCTGAGCCCACAAGTGGGGGAGGCCCGGGGTGGTCCCTGTTGGCTCCCAGTCCCAGTCCCGCAGCCCCAGCACTCACAGAACTCCACCAGCAGGGCCGCGTGCTCCCGCAGGGCTGGGCCCAGGGTTTGGAGGTTCAGCACCAAGACCCCCTCATCCTCCGGGACTTCCTCCCCAGGAGGCTCCTCAGGAGGCTCCTCTGAGGGGCCCTCAGGCCCCTGCGCCTGCCCCCGGGGCCCCAAGGCCCCCAGAAGCAGCAGCAACAGCAGCAGCACAGGCAGGAGCTGGCGGTCCATGGCGCTGCCAGGGTGTAGGGGCGGGAGCAGATAAGGGGACCAGGGCCAAGCAGTGGGCGCCACGTGGCACCAGTTCTGGCCACAGGGGAGATAAGGCCCACGAGGCACCCCTCACCCATGAGGGAGGGGGAGGCAGAAAGAGGCGACACAAGGGCACTGAGACAGGGCGATGTTTAATGGACTGTTCAGGGGACAGCGCCAGGCCTGGGGCAGGGGCAGGACAGAGCAGAGGGCAGTGGAGGGTCTGGGGGCCGCGGAGGGGCTGGGGAGCGTTGGGGGTCCCTTGCAGCCACTGAGGGAGGAGGGGAAACAAGGACCCCAGTGGGGAGGGGCTCAGCCCTTCCAGTCCCGACAGATGAGCAGGCCCCACTCCCAGGACAGGTGGTCCGTCCTGTCGTCATCGGTGAAGAGGGACGTGACCACGTAGGTGCCCCGCACCAGCGTGCCCCGCGGCACCTCCTCCACTGGCGTCACAAACTCGTACTCCTGTGCACACGGGCCGTAGCTGCCCACCATGCAGACAGCCTTGTCCACTGGGGGAGAGCAAGAGCGTCAGGGACCACCCTCTGCCCACCAGCCCCCACCCAGCCGCCTCCCTCCCGCCGTCCTCCTCGCTGCCGCCCTCACCACGCAGACCCCGGCGGTAGGTATGATGCAGACACTTGAGGCCACTGACGATCTCCCTGTTGACCTGGGGGACAAAGGCATTAGGGGCTTCTGGGGGGCTGGGCCCTGCTGGCTGGCGCCACCCACTGGCACTGCCCTCACCTTGAAGGTGATCTTCACTTTGTAATCAACACCCTCCTTCAGGACAAACACCTGGTTCTTTAGCGCAGCCAGGTCCCCTGTTAGGGAAATGGCAGCTGAGGTCCAACCTCCTGGAACAGGCTGAGAACCTGCCCAGGGAGCCCCCATGCAGGGCGGGGCATCCATGGGTCTGCGGTGGTGGACCAGGTGAGAGGCACAGAGGTGCACCCGCGAGGGCCCTCCCCCAGGTTCCAGGCACATTACCTGTGAGGTCCATGGTGATGGGCTCCGGCGCCTGCTCAGACACGAGTGTCAGTCGCATCACCTGCACATTGGGCAGGCCTGGGTCTGAGGAGAAATCGGACGTCTGCAGGATGCCCACTGGCGCCGCCTGCCCACCGCATGGCACTCAGCCCTGCAAACCCAGGTGGCCCTACCCACAACAGGTGGTGGGGGCCCCAGCAGCACCCGCTTGTAGGTGGCCAGGCTCTCGTCATCTGCGTCCAGCTGCTGGATCTCCAGGATGCTCTTCCTGCCCGGTGCTTGGTACTCCGGCACGGCCTCGTCCAGCACCTCGTTTGGTGGTGGAGGCTGCCTACCCTCCTTGTCCGCCAGGAGGACTGGGGGGTGGGGAGGGGCGTGACTGACTGTCACCAGCTGACCCCGATATTTGCGTGCCAAGTTGGAGCACCCATCCGGCCAGCTGAACCTCTCACTGCCCAAAGGGACTAAGGAAGGTGTGGGGGCTCTGTGCCAGGGCGAGCCCAGTTAGTTAGGAGGCTGCAGTGGCCTCCCTGGAGGTCCACCCAGGGTCCCTCCCTGAGGTCAAAGGTGGGGGAATGGAGACTCCGATAGGAACAGTCCCAAGGGGCTGGGGGCTACTGCTATAGCACGATGACCCCCAGGCCTCCCTGGAGCAGAGCTCTGCCCTCCCACGCCCCCAGGGGCTCCCTCACTCAGGGCTCTTCTCACAGTGCCCTGGGACACCTCTGAGCCCCTTCCATCCTGTTCAGGAGGTCTCTCAACACCTTCCCACAGTCCTAGGGGTCCCTCTAGGGGTCCTGGGGAAAAGAGGTGGTTCTCTAAGCCCCTGAGCTCATGCCCCGGGTCCCCCTCCCATGGTGCCCCGGGCCAGGAGTCTCCTGCAGCCCCTCCCTGGTGCCTTGGGGCAGGGGTGTCTGCAAGTCCCTGCCCGCTGCACTCCAGGCTGAGATGCACCAGCCCCACCCAGGAGCGAGGGGCTTAGGCTGTTCCCAAGGGGAGAGGGTCCTGCTGCCTCCTCCGCTTCACGAAGGACCCGTGCACTTCCGGCCCCCTTCCCCGGCAGGGTCGAGCCGGGAGTCCCCACCCCCCTGCCGACCCCGGTAGGGGTCTGCACCACGAGGTCCCCAAGCGCGCCCCAAAGTTGCCACGGGGGAGGGGTGGTCCGCTCGTGCTGAGGCCTCCGAGACCCCCGCACCCCCGCCGGCCC